TATTGTTCTTTGGAGGATATGTCTTTTCAGGGACCAAGATTTACTTGGTGTAATAAAAGGGAGGTGGGTATAATCTGTAAGAAGTTGGATCGCACTTTGATTAATGAAGCTTGGATAAAAAGATTTCCGAAAGCCTATTGTGTGTTTGAAGCTGGAGGATGTTCAGATCATCAAAGGTGTCGGATTGTGATTAGTTCTGATCTTTTGAAGCCTAGGAAACCCTTTAAGTTTGTTAATGCTCTGGTTGGTATGCCGGAGTTTTTCACAAGAGTGGAGGGGTTTTGGGCTGAAACGGTTCCGTTATTCAATTCTACTTCTGCGCTTTTTAGACTTTCTAAGAAGCTAAAGGATCTGAAACCTGTTTTGAAACAACTAAGCCGAGAGAAGGTGGGAGGTATTATTAAGAAAACCAAGGATGCGTATCATGATCTTTGTGAAGCTCAGGTAAGAACTTTAGATGATCCAAATCAGAATAATATTAAAGCTGAAGCTGAGATTTATAGAAGATGGATGTTTCTGTCTACTCTTGAAGAAAGAGTTATAAGTCAAAGAGCAAAAATTCACTGGCTTGAAGTGGGAGATGGTAATAACAAGAGCTTTCACAAAGCTGTGGTTGTTAGAGAAATTCGCAATTCTATTCGTGAAATCAAGAGGATTGATGGTTCTATTGTTAATACGCAAGATGATATTAAGACGGAGGCTGTGGATCACTTTCACAAATTCTTATCTCATGTTCCAAATGATCTTAAAGAAGTTGGGAAAGAGGAGCTTAAGCTGCTTCTTAACTATCAGTGTTCGGAGGAGGACAGAAGTATGTTAGTAAGAGTTGCTACTGCTGAGGAGATTAAAAAAATTCTTTTCTCTATGGCTGCTGACAAATCACCGGGTCCTGATGGTTACACTAGCGAATTCTTCAAAGCAACCTGGCATATTATTGGTTCTGATTTTGTGACAGCGGTTAGATCCTTCTTTGATAAGGGTTTCTTGCCTAAAGGTATTAATTCTACTATTCTGGCTCTTATCCCTAAGAAGACTGATGCAATCTATATGAAGGATTATCGCCCCATTTCTTGCTGTAATGTCATCTATAAGGTTATCTCGAAGCTTCTAGCTCAGCGTATGAAAGGTCTGCTTCCCCTCTTTATTTCTCTAAATCAATCTGCGTTTGTTAAAGATAGGCTTCTTATGGAGAACGTTCTCTTGGCTTCTGAGTTGGTTAAGAATTACCATAAGGAAAAGGTCACTGAGAGGTGTGCTATGAAGATTGATGTGTCTAAGGCTTTCGACTCTGTGCAGTGGTCTTTTTTGCTTACTGTTTTAGAGGCTCTTGATTTCCCTGAGAAGTTTGTTATATGGATCAAGAAGTGCATTGAGTTGGCTTCGTTTTCGGTTCAGATCAATGGAGAACTTGCGGGTTACTTTAATAGTAAGAGAGGTCTCAGGCAGGGGTGTTCCCTTTCTCCTTTCCTCTTTGTCATATGTATGCAGGTTCTTTCGAAGATGTTAGATAAAGCGGCTTCTGATAAGAAAATTGGCTATCATCCTTATTGCAAAGATTTGAGATTGACGCACATCTGTTTTGCTGACGATGTGCTTGTGTTCTCTGATGGGAAGAAGTCTTCCATTGAAGGTATTCTTGCAGTTTTTCAGGATTTTGCGAAAATCTCAGGCCTTAATATCAGTTTGGAGAAATCCACTATCTATTTGGCTGGAATTAAAGCAGAGGAGAGTGTTGAAATTATGGAGCAGTTCCCTTTTGAAGCAGGTACGTTACCGGTCCGTTATCTTGGTCTCCCTCTTCTTACCAAGAGAATGAACGTTAGAGATTATGATCCTCTTATCTCTCGTATAAAAAGTAGAATAGCTTCCTGGACGGCTAGGCACCTTTCTTTTGCTGGTAGGCTTCAGTTGATTGGTTCTGTTATCTATAGCATCACCAATTTTTGGATGTCTGCCTATAGATTACCGAATCAGTGTATTCATGAGATTAATAGTATCTGTGCTGCGTTTCTTTGGTCGGGGCCGGTTTTATCAACTCAAAAAGCTAAGGTTGCTTGGGTAGATGTTTGTAAACCAAAGGAAGAAGGTGGTCTTGGTTTAAAAAATTTACTTGAAGCGAATAAGGTTGCTTGTTTAAAGCTTATTTGGCGTATTCTCGGGGGTAGAGCTTCTTTATGGGTGCATTGGATTTGGAAGTATCTTATAAGGAAAGGTTCATACTGGAGTTTTAATGTCAATAGTAGCTTGGGATCGTGGATGTGGAAAAAACTTCTTAAGCTCAGACCTCTTGTTGCGAAGCTGTCAAGGAAGGAGGTTAATAACGGTTCTACCACTTCATTCTGGTTTGACATGTGGTCGCCTCTGGGGAAACTTATAGATGTTACGGGAGATAGGGGAACTATGGATCTGGGTATTCCAAAGGATAGTACAGTGGAGAGGGCTATTCAGATTTACAGGAATAAAAGGCATAGATCAACTGCGCTGAAGTTGATTGATCATGAAATTATGATGCTTAAAAGACGAGGTCTTAACCAGCAGGATGATATTTGCCTTTGGAAGCGAGAGACAGATGATTATAGAGAAAATTTCTCTACTTGGCATACGTGGAATAATATCAGGGAGAAAGCTCCTCAAGTGAGTTGGTGTAAAGGAGTTTGGTTCTCTGGAGCTGTTCCGCGTTACTCTTTTCTTATCTGGATAGCTATTCAAAATCGTTTAGCCACTGGTGACAGAATTCTTAGATGGAACCCCCAAGCAAATTCAACTTGTTGGTTTTGCAAAACTGATTTGGAGACCAGGGACCATCTTTTTTTCAGCTGTACTTACTCTAAGGATGTGTGGTTAAGCACAATAAAGAATCTGTTGGGCAATAGAAGGGTATATGATTGGATCACGGTGCTTCATCTGGTGGAGAAGGGTGTTCGGGATAAAGTGTTTACTTATCTTATGAGATTCTGTTTTCAAGCTGTTGCCTATGCCTTATGGCATGAGAGAAATACGAGACGTGTGGAGAATACTCAACATTCTGCTTCATGGCTTATTGCTAGATTAGATAAGTTGATTAGAAACAGGATTACTTCCTTGCAAAAGAGAAAGGGAAATAAATATGAGAAAGCTATGGAGGTTTGGTTTGGCTTAGTTTGATCTTGCTCTGCGGTTTGTGCTGGGATGCAGTGTTTGTTTTTCTCTCGTTTGGCTGAGGTTGTCTGCTGTTTCTGGTGGGTTGGTCGTGTTCTTTGTCTGCAATCTTGGTTATTGGCGCTTTGGAAATCATCTAGCACTCCCCTGATCATGAGGGGATTACTCTTTTTCCTTACTAAGGTTTTGTCCCATTTGGGTTTTCCTTAGTAAGGTTTTAATGAGGATCACCTCATGATCCTTCCAAAATACATGACTTGTTCCACATGGTCATGTTTGAGGGGGAGAGCTATGATGCTTTGTTTTTCTTGGTCTTTGATTTAGATTTGATATTAGATTTGATTTTGTTTCTTTACGCTTTTGTTGCATCTTAAGATTTGTTTCTTGATGTAAAACAGTTTTTTTTGGAATGCAATTTAAAATTCTTTCAAAAAAAAAAAAAAAAAAAGAATAGATAAAAAATTTAATATAATTAAATATAAATAAAAAACGGATTTCAATGATTTTAGATTTATCTTTATCTAAAACTATTTTATATTGGGTTATAAAGTTTTTATTTAACCTTGAAAAATAATTATATTAGTTAATATACTTGAAAAATAATTATATTAGTTAATATATAATTAATTATAAATTAAAATCGAAATTCATTTATTTTATAATTATCCTTATTTTTTTATATTATGTGATAAAGTCCTTATCAACCTTGAAAAATAATTATATTTGTTAACATATAATTAATTCTAAATTAAAAAATGAATCTCATGAATTTGATAATTATCTTTATCTAACTTTTTTATATTGTCTTATAAAGTCTTTATTAACGTTGAAAAAATAATTCTATTTGTTAATATAAAGTTAATTATGAAAAATCAAATTTGCAAAGAATTTATGTATAGATTATTTATATTGTGTTATCCAAAACATTATTAAACATGATTTTTTATATTTTTTTGTTATGTCTAAAAACGATATTAATTTATTACTAAATGTTTCAAGTTTATGAGTATTTTCAAATATAAGTTGTGTAATGAAAATTATTTATATGATGATGAAAATTTTATAAATAAAAAGAATTTGTTTAGTTTATTATTAAGTATTTTGAGTCTATGAACAATAATTTATTATAATTACATAACTTGATTATATATTTATTTATAAATATTAGTAAAATTATTAAGCCCGCAAGTGCGGGCAAAACACCTAGTACTCAATTTAAATTCAATCATAGGTTTTTTTTTTATAAATCTGACTTGGTAATAATTCGATCATAGTTGGTCGTTTTTTTATCAGAACATATCATGAGCTAAAAGTTTATGAAGCATCAGTTTTCTGTGCCAAAATTTATGTAAGAGCTTAATGGCATCAAAACTTCATGGTGTAATGGTTTAACAGCAACTAGTAATTAACCACTCCCAAGAGTTAGTCAAAATGTCAGCTACACCTGAAGATTGATCAATTTTCACAGTTGAACTTGAAAGTTCAAAATTCTATGGCCATCCTACCAAAACGAAAAAGTGGTCACCCAAACCAGATCCAACAACATACATGTGAACTTCCTTATAAGACATACTCGAACAAGAAATCGTATTTTCTCATATGTCGACAAGTTGTACCACATTGGATAAATTTTGAATAGTTAGTTAACAAACAGATTCTTGGATCCACCTTATTAGAGGAATGCAAAGCCACATGGATACTAGGCTTTTCCTATGTAACGAATACACTTTCTTCAAAATTTGAAATAACAAAGCTACACTGACAAAAGATAATGGGCCGGACTCAAAAACAGTTATAAGGCCCAACAGAATATAAAAAAACATCTCTACGTTGGGCTCTGATCATCGTCCCCGACTAACATAGTTTTTTCACTCCCGGTGTTGACTTTGATCAGATCGGCGCCGGAAATGGGCATCACGAGAATCTTGACATTCACTTTGGCCTGTGTAGCTTCACTCTCAGTAGTCAAAGCTCTTCCCCACGAACCAGAACTCGGTTCCGCTCGTGTCGTCTTCCAGGTCCATTTCGCGTCTCCTCTCCTCTGCACGTTTTTGGATTTCTCTTATGCAAATTAGCATCTTAGATTCTGGGTATTCTAAATTTAGAATCAAAATCTCATCTTTGAGTTTGTGTAATGTGGGTTCGCAGACTAGTTATGGAGATATCGAATTTGGATTCTATCCCACGGTGGCACCAATAACGGTGGATCACATCTTCAAGCTTGTTCGTTTAGGTGGCTACAACACTAATCATTTCTTCAGGGTACTTTAAAAAGTCTCAACCTTTGAGTTTGTTTATTACATTCTCTTTGGCTAAGTGTTGGAAGTGATTTTTGCAGGTTGATAAAGGCTTTGTAGCTCAAGTTGCAGATGTGCCTAATGGAAGATCAGCTCCAATGAATGAGGAGCAAAGGAAAATAGCTTACAAGACTGTTCTTGGAGAGTTCAGTGATGTTAAGCATGTTAGAGGCATTCTTTCTATGGGAAGGTAACTAATGAATGTTCTTTTTTACTTGTTGTGTGTTTATAACTTCATGTCTTTGTTTTTTTTTTTTGGGTAGACATGATGATCCAAACAGTGGAGGATCTTCGTTTTCGATGCTTCTTGGTGATGCTCCTCATCTTGATGGAAAGGTTAGCTAGTTTTATTCAACTTTTTTAGCTATTTCTTTGTCTAGTAATGAGGTTAGTGGTGTTCGACAGTATGCTGTGTTTGGTAAAGTGACTAAAGGAGATGAAACATTGAGGAAGCTTGAAGAAGTTCCCACTCGCCGTGAAGGGATCTTTGTAATGGTATGTCTCCAACACTTTCCGTTTTGTTTTTGTTGGTCTGACTAGTAACTAGTTTGGCTTTGATCTTTTCTTTTGCAGCCGACGGAGAGGATCACCATTTTGTCGACATACTATTACGGTAAATGCAATCAAATCCAATTAGTTTCTTAGACGTTTGATGTTGACATGTGACATGTTTTAACTACTGTCCATATCGAGATGTGACTGTAGCCTGAATCGCTAGAGTCATTGATATGTCCTAGTAGATAAGAATCAGGATATCTAGATAGCCTTTTGAACGGTTTGGTACTGTTTTGGATCGTAATAAAGATGATGCTGAACTCTTTATAATCTTGTTTGTAGACACTGAGATGGAGAGCTGTGAAGAGGAGAGATCTGTCCTGGAAAGAAGGCTTCAAGCATCTTTTCTTGAAGTTGAAAGACAGGTGATTTGAAATGTCTTAGAGATCATGTTTTTGATTAGAAAGCTCGACATTTTTAATGAAACCGTAACAGTTTATGGTCCCTTGTGTTTTTAACAGAGAATGAAGTGCTTCCCGTGAAGACTTTTGCTAAGTTAAAGAACTGTTCAACAAAGAAAAGTCGACATGTATGTTTCTTTGTTGCTGTTAAAAAAAACTCAGGATGCTTAGACAGATTCATTGGTTCTTGAGTGTAATAGTGAAAAAAAAACTGGTTGAGAAACATTTGATGATGGTTTGTTTCCTCCTTGGTCTGCAAAATCTGATTCAACGGAGACAAAATCCCAGGTTCTGAGCACCAAATAGCTCCGGAGGATAGCAGCAACACATGTGCTCTGCTTCTCTCTCTCTCTCTCTCTTGAAAAACAAGGCATGTCTCTCAGTTAACACAAAGTCTTTTCACTTTCGTTGACTTTTGTCTCTTGCTTTCTCCTCCTTTTTGTCACTTTCCTCTTATTTTACATCAAACTATGTTTTTGTTTTGGTCTGAAATCCAAGCATTACCACCTCTCTTGCATTAAAGGAGATGGCTAGTTATGTCTGTTGTTTAGGGTTCTTAAAAAACAATTTAGACCCAAAAACTTAAGAAGGGGTCATATGATATTTAATTAGAAGTATGAAACCAATGGCTTAAAACAAGTGTTGCATTAGGGCTTTGTAATGGTGTGACAACTTTAGGTGACCCACCACAGTACTTGTACTTCAGCCCATTGGTCAATTTGCTAAAAGAAAAAATATATATATCCACAGTTTATAGTACTTTATACAAATTTAATAGTCTATTAGCACAAAAGAAAAATCTGACACTTGATTTGATTAAGATATCCATTTTATAGATCAGAATTACATCGATTTGATTCCATTGCCAATGTATTTGCAGTGTCGAGTTCTATGAGCGAAATTGCTTTTGTTCACATGATAGGAGAAGCTAACCACGTGAGAATAAAATATGGTGATAAGAAACGTTCATTTCTTTTACAGAAAAAAAAAATCAGTTTCTTTGCAAAATGAAAGCTAAAGTTTGTTCATAATACATACGGATATGTGTAAAAGTGCGAGACATCATAAACGTTAACATTATACTTTTAAAGAAATTTATCACTAATTGATTATAGTTATGTGGGATAAGACCTATTTTCACATCATAATTATCGTTTAGTAATAGATCCACATGAACTTTGAACCTCGTCATAATTACACACAACATAACTATATCAATCAATTTCTCTCCAAAATTAAAGATCAAAACTCGCTTCCACACATACAAAACTTGAGCTTGGTTTTAATGGTTTATAACGTTAACCGATATTAAATCTTATAATTTTAGTCGATACTGGTGCAACATGACCTAGATGAAGTGATTATTAACCGACCCGAACCTCTATTAATCTTCTCCAAATTGATATATTCCTTTTGAAACCCTAAAATCTAAAAAAAAAATAAAGAACAAAACAAAGAGAGAACTCCAGGATGAGTAACGAATCTGAAAATTCGATTTGAACCATTGGTCAGGTCATATTAAGTTTACTTAAGTTAGTCACTGGTTTAGTTTCAAAACAAAGAATACCAAACCTACTTTAAACCGCCATTTGTTGGTATTAGTTCATGTTTCAAACTTTAGGAGGAAGCGGATTTCGATCTTTCATTTTGGAGAAAAATAGGTTTATATAGCTAAATTGTATGCAATTGAGAAGAGGTTTAAAATTCGTGTGGATCTGTTACTATATAATAGTTATGGTGTAAAAATAAGTCGTTGATCCTAGTTATGTGTATGAACTATGAATGACAGTTTATCTTTATTAAAAAAAAATACAAACATTATGTATTTATTTTTGTTCAGAATGTGTCTCTAGCTGATGACCAAAGAATTCAAGAGTAACACTGTATTCTTTAACATTGCTATTTTTTTACCGTTTATGAATAATAGTTTTTCCATTCTATTCCTTCTCATTTCTTTTGTTGTAGATTAAAATGAAACTAATTTGTTTCTCAATAAATTTGATAAGTAATAATCATTTCTCATCATTCCTATAATTTTATTTCTATCTATTATTTTGCCTGTTTGTTCTTGGTGTTCATATAATGATTACCGGTTAGACTCTTAATGGTTCATTTTCTGTCTTATTTTTAAGTTAGTTATTCGAATCTACATATTGTGATGTGCTTTTCTGTCAAACCCGAAACCAAATATATTATCTTTGTGTTTTTTGCAATATCCTTCGTTTGGGGACTGAATGGATTGTCTTTGATTTTGTTTTGTTGGGTATTGCAAGTCAAAGTCATAAGATGAATATTACTCGCTTGTTTTGTATCAATGCCTTAAATTTATCTTGTTTCTTTCCAGGTGTTTGAATTACTACAAATTTTTATTCATTTTTGTTTTATAACGTATTTTTGTAATGAAGTACTGCCAAATAGTTATGGTTGAGCCCAGAATGAATACATAGTTATACCTTCAGATATTATCTGGCCAGTTTTCTAAATTTATTTATTCGATATATATTTGATAATTTCCAACAATTATACTACATTGCAATGTGTAGACATCAAGGTATCCAGAAATTTGTGCAGAAGTTGTATTTTACAGAGGACAACAATCAATTAAAAAAAAATATAAGAGGACAATAGTGGCAGAACATCACATGAGGCCTCACACCCTACTTTTTATATTTCATTTTTTTTTTTTCACAGAAAACTGTAACAGCCTTGTGGGTTTTGGACACATGTTTCATGTTTGGATCGGTCACATAAATTTGTGAACATGTTAACTTTTGCACAGACCACCGAGTGTTAAAATTTGGTATGAGAGTAACTGTTCTGGGTCAGGTTCAAATGTACTCTTCACTTCAAATGTTTCTCTGCATCACGTACTTTTTTCTCAAGTAATACATATATTTGACTGATTAAGCTTTATTCTTCCTTCTAACGAAAATATTCCAACGCATCAGTTTCTTTGTTTACTTGTATTTAGTATCTCTTAAATCATACACTGATGGATTTAATAATATAATTAGTCCCACGGTTAAGATCAATTTATTAGTGTGCAAAATAAGATACTAACTAATTTTCATACGATAGTTTCTTTGTTTTTTTACCTTTTATACTCTTACATTCAAAGATTTAAGATATCTCAACAAAGACCAGATCATACCACAGAACTATTTATAGCGTTAGCACAAGTCTTTCACAAATGTAGCGATGTACAAGGATCCAAATATCTAGACGATATAAAAAACATCGTAAATATTAAATCATGCTTCAGTGATCTGTATATGTGTATTGAAACAGCATTAGTCTTCAAAACATGTCCATTGTTCGTACTGCATTGTTCTTATGATAGTAAATATAGTTCTTTGTAATATAAACCTCTCATCAATGTATCAGCAATTGATATGTTGTATTTGAAACGGGCCTCTACATGCGGGAAAATACCTATGTAACTTCACAAGCTAGTTGTGTTTTAGTAAAACGTATATGACATATGTTGAAAATGATTCTTCTTTTTTGCTTTATCTATGTGGTTGGCGTAGAATCAAGTTCGTGAGAAATCATTTCATTTTGAGAGATCAAGTATATTATAGATTTCTCTAAACTAATCATGCTAACAAGTAGAACGCAATCGGATTCGATCTCGAGGAATCCTGATCCTACCTACATCCAAACTAGTTGTATGTAGGCCTGGAAGATGTCACATACGAACACACGTATTCTTACAATAAATAATGAGTAATAATGATATTTAAAACAAGATTAGGGAGATTCTGTACGTCATCCGAACTCCAAGAACGCTGTTTAGTAATAATAATCAGGACATCTCTCATCTCTGGAACATCGTCCTTACACTGTTCAACAACTAATTGAATATATGTACATATGCTTCCATCAATGTAAATTTGTATTAAAATAATGAGTTTTATATATTATATAGTATTGTTTGTAAATGAAAGAAAAACAGAGATTGCGAGACAACACATGACATGTTTTATAATCTTGGGGATGGGTTGGTTTTATCGTTATATGTCTTTGACCGTCAACAATGTGTGGCTCCTTGAATCGTTTTTAACCTTTTAACCCCATACTATGAAATGTCCGCAACTAATTTACTTGTGACATGATAAGCATCTTCTCATTAAAATCTTGACATTGGTCGGTCTAGGGTTTACCACAAACAGAGAACCAGTCTAGAGATACTACACATGTTTTGAGAAATAAAAGTACTATAGCTTAGTACTACCTAGCTAGTAGTCATCAGTGTTTTGAGAAATAAGTACTATAGCTGAGTACTGCCTAGCTACTGGTCATCAATTAACTAACTTCAGTAGTTCATATATTTTCTAGGAAATAATCTTTTCGAAATGTTTTAGAAATAGAATAGTGAGTAGAAAATGAATGAAAATTTGTAGTTTTTAATGACGTAATTAAAGTCAGATATAGTGGCATAAAATTAAGAGATGGAGTGGTTCCTAATTAATAGGAAAGCTACTGATCTCGGAATGTGTGTATGGGTAGGTCTAGGTCTCATTAATAGCATATGCATCAATGCATGTTGTATTCACTCCGCCGAAATTAACCGCATTATTCTTTCAGATTCATATTCCAATCAAACCCTCAAGCCCCGCTTCAATTTCTGACTTGGATGATCAAAGATAGTCAAATCTATATTCAATCTCTATAGGGGGTTTAGAGCTTTAAATGTGTGTTTCAACGATGTCTTTTTAGGTTATACTATGTGTATATCAACGTATATTGAAAACCAAAATTGTCGCTTCCAAGTGGATGTTTCTTTTCATAGTAATCCAAGATATTCATTTCGTTTTCGGTACAAGTAATCTGTCTTGTAGCTTTGGGGGTTATTGTCAAACCAAACATGTATACATACTAATTTTTTCAAACTGTATGGATACCAAACAAAAATTAAATTAAGCCAAAGCAAGTTTAATTAATAAGACAAAATACAGATTCTCATTGTTTAGCTAAAACTATAATATATAGTATATTTATATATTCATTTATGTGATTATTAAAAAACCATTCTTGACAGAAAAAAAACGAGAGATTAAAACCGTGATAAACCGAACATCTACCAGATGATCAACCAAGCCGAATCCACTTGATAATCAAACACTTAATTAACTCATCTACTACGTAAAACAGAAAATTAGATTTTATGGACGGTATTATTTTTTAAGAAATCAATGTTGTCAAGTTTAATGCCCAAACATGATTTGGCTTCAACATTTTTTGGTGTTATATGTCCTACACTCTTTTGATGATATCGATCACCATAAAGAAAACTAAAGAATATATATAGATTAATCTTATAAATTACCGTTTTCTTTTGTTCCACGGTTTTTTCTTCGCCAATATACATAAGAAAGAAAAAATCAAGCATTTTCTTTTGGTATTTGGATATATATGTTACATCAAACATGTATGTATATGATGAACATAGTTATATGTGATCCAAACCCATATAACTCCCTATGAATAAATGCAAGAGTTTGGATTGAGAAAAAATGGTAGTAAGAGAAGAAGAGAGAATATTGATTAAAAAGAGAGACAAGGAAGTAATACATATAACGTGGGTATGCAATGGTGAGACTGACAGAGAGAGAAGGCAAAGAGGGACAGTTTAGTTTGGCGATAAACTCACATTTTACCATTTTAAACCCCACTTGAGCCCTCTTCTCATTTCCATGGCCCTCTCTCCTTTTCTACGTCACTTTCTCTTTGTTTTTTTCTCATTTGTTTATACTAGCTAGTCGGATTTGTAGATCCAAAATGTTGCAACGAGTTAATTCTACTTGGCCCTGTTTTGGAAAGGCTATGCAGCACTGTGGACTGACTTTATTGTATTTTGCTTTTAGTTTTAGATCGAGTGCGGATTAGTCCATGGTTAAACGTTACCCACAAAGAAAAGTGGACTGAACCGGTTTGATCTGTCTCCATCTTGACTTATTTGGTCCTATAAAGATTGGATAAAAGATGGCTTTTATACAGTATAGAAGATGGCTTCATTTTTTTCTTCTAAAACATATATAGAAAACCATATTATTTGAAGTTATTAACACATCATGAATTGTGAAATTTTGTTATATACTAAATATCTTTACATAGCTCATATGTATTAGATATTTGGATAGCCGGCAGAACCAACATCATATGGGTTAACGTTCCTAGTGTAAACGATTTTTTTGTTTTGTTTTTGACAACTTGATTAAACATTGGGTTATCTTAGTAACAAATTTATCAGAACCACATATTCAGATAGATCACTCAATAAGTCTGGTGGCCTGAAATAATAAATGTTTGCATATAAAATGGAACCACATCTAGATGCAATAACCCTTATCCGCATATTGGTTACTCATATGTTCAACTTCAATATTGAGAAAAAGGAAACATGTAGCTTTGAAATACCACTAATGGTGTTAAGTTGAAGTTGATACTGCACCATGTGAATAGCTCGTTAGAAAGAAGGTTAAATGGAACAAGAATAAAAATAATTTCAGAGAAAATAATAAAACCCGACGTGGTTGAGTTTCACACATGTAACAATCAAGACGTTGGTCTCGCGAGAAAGTTAGTTTAGAAGATTACCCAAAATAAACAGTATCTTTTTGTACTAAGAGATGGTGAGAAAAAAACTGAGAACAAATAATATAATAAATAGTTGAAAGCTAATTAAGGACGTTCTTATAAAGAAACATAACCCACATCCTCCCTCCATGCACTTGTCTCTCTTGTTCATCTTCTCTCTCTCTCTCTTCATAAATTTGCATTATAAAAACACATCCACTTTGCTCCTCCCTCTTCAAAACAACCTTCTTCGCCTTCTCCACTCTTTTTCTCTCTGACACATCAACTACTCTTATCCTTACTACATTCCCTTCTCTCTCTCTATCTACACACACACAAACAAAGACACTTACTAAACAAGATGTCGAGCAGAAGATCATCACGTTCACGACAGTCAGGAAGCTCAAGAATCTCTGACGATCAGATTTCCGATCTTGTTACTAAGCTCCAACACCTCATCCCTGAGCTCCGCCGCCGCCGTTCTGACAAGGTATATACACTCCAAAAATCCATATGTAAATCTATCTTTCTTGCAAATACGTACAAACAAACATATGTTCCTTGTTTGTATGGATATAGTTCTAAGTGAGCACATGGAGTTGGAAAGTTCAAATGAATTGAAACCATATACTACTAGTGTATATAACTAATTAATATGAATGGTGAAATGAAATGGCGTCTTGTGTAAATACATGTGGTCTACAATTAACTATCCGTAGATAAAGTAACATTAATTCACAGCCTCATTTATGCATAAGTACACTATCTCTTTTGTTCCTTGAATGTTTTTTATGCATTTAAATTCACAAGCTGGTGGTGTGGGGTTCAGTTTGTTCCCTTCTTACTTCCATATACATTAACTCCATGTCTCCTCATTACTCTTCTCTACCAAATATTCACCATATTCCTATATATAGATGAGAAATGTATATAATTTATTAAATAGTGGCCGTTTATACCGTTGTGCACATTAAAATGGTAATAATGGAGAAATCTTTTTACTCATTAAATTTCGAAGATACACTATATGAAACTTTTATGTAGAATAAAAAGCACTCACACATGTTGTCATGTACTCTTTGTAAGAGTCTGAATGATCGTTATTTGTACTCTAATTGAAGATATTTTATAAAAATAAATTGACAGGTGTCAGCATCTAAGGTACTACAAGAGACTTGCAACTACATCAGGAACTTACACAGAGAGGTTGATGATCTCAGTGACCGTTTGTCTGAACTCTTGGCTTCAACGGACGACGACAGCGCCGAGGCAGCCATCATTAGGAGCTTGCTTAATTATTAAAATTCTCATTAATTAATCTGAGAACTATAAATCATCAATCTCCACCACGAAAAATTATCTTATTATGATTATGAGTATTTGCTTCCTTCTACTTCAAATATTATGATATAGCTAGCTAGGGTTTCGGGTCATTGTTAGGCCAACTCATATATTATATAATATATGTTTATGTATGTATGCATCTTAATTGTATGTGAGGGTCCAGACCTGGCTGCATAGCCTGTGTATTATCATGAGATCCTCTCTAATATTATGATTAATGACACAGTCCGTTTCTTTAATACTAATGCGATCAACTTTATTGTAAGTTTTTATTTGTTTGTCTGTTTTTTCTACGCATATAAATATAGTTCTGCTTGGAAGTATGTATATACAATATAAGAACGTTGAGAAGTTGTTATTGAACTTAAATTGTTTAAAATGTGATAGAAACAAAGACCTTGATGTTTTCGAGGTCTTCCAGTTTGGAATATCTGATTTTAAATATTATCTATAGTGTGTGCTATGGTCGTGCCTTGATTTAAATATGCTTGCATGTGATCATTAATGCGTGATCTTCGTCGTGTATCAAAACACGTATTGACTCGATAATTACGGTATATAGCGTGATGATTTAATACTAGCTAGATAACTAATCGTAACATGTAAACAATAAAACACGATTGTTTTGAAACTTTATTGGCTGAATCTAATATCGCGCGAAAATACGAAAAGCAAGTTTCTCATATTCATATGGTATATTTGTAGTCAAGGAAAAGTATGGAATGAAAAAGTTCATTACAAATGCAAGAAGTTCATTTTTTGTGTGATTAATTTCGGGTATCTCGAATCCATCGAATATTTCAAACTAATTTTTAAATTGGAAATGCAATTCACAGATAAATCTTTTTTCCGGATATGTAAATGAGTCTGAAAATATGAATTTATATTTATGTTAGATGTCCAAGAATAATATGAGTTAGTTTCACGTGGGAAGTGAATCAGTTATTTTTTATAACTGATTATTTCTGTTTATGAGCACAGAAGACTACGTGCTGGTCAGCTGAAATGCATACTTTTTCTAAGAAGAATTAAAACCCCGAAGAAACATTAAAATTGAATTGAAGACATGTGATAATGTGATACACGTTCATGAAATGTTATAACACGTTTATAATGATAAAACTCTCAATTGTTCTTTGTTGAAAAAATATATAGATTTTTTAACGATAAATGTCATGTAATCTGAACATAAAAAATGTAAAAAAAAAAAGACACTGGAATACTCACCTTTACGATCACCCCTTAAATCATCGACTAGTGAGCCAGCCCAAAGATACTGAAAGGATCTTTGGCCCAATTTCTGGTTAGATTATCGGGCCTAATTAACATATTTTATTATCAATATAAAGATAAATGGGCTTCTTATCGAAATACCATAAAGGCTATAATGGAAGATAATGGAAGAAGTCTAATCATATCACTATTTAGTTAAAATTGACGAAAATTGTATTAATATTAATTTAGATAAATCTTTAAATTTATTTAACTTCTTTTTATATGGGGTTTGAGGTGTTTGAGAAAGATTTACTTAATTAAACATTAATATTTCCTCCAGTTTTATATATTTTCATTACTAGCTTTGATCTATAAGTGTTCGCATATACTTGTTGACGCCAAAATCACAAGTTTTGTTGATGATTACATAGTTGTGTTTCAAAAAAAGTGTTAAGAAAATGTTTAGATTACTTCATGAAGTCAGGTCGGCTCTGAAAATGTTTGGACGGAAATCATTAGAAAAACATGGATCTATTAATTAAATAAATAGTAGTATTAAAAAATTAATTATGTTGTTAACTATGTTCGAACAACAACAGCATTAACCAACTGAGCTACTAAAAATATTAAAAAATATTGACTAGAAATTTTAGATATTTTTACAAGGTAGAAAACACATGTTTTTAATGTTTTAACCCAATGCCATTACTGCATAAAGCTTATAGTTTTAGGTTTTTAGCTAGATTTTAAATGAGAAATATTACTAGAGATGATCTAATAATAACTTTTTTTAAAGTATTTTAAGAGAATGTTTAGAAGATTACTTCATAAAACTTATAGTTTTAGGCTTTTAGCTAGATTGAAAATGGGAAATATTACTAGAGATGATATTTTTTTTTAAATAACATTGATGCGTTTGAGAACAAAGTGATACATAAAAGGAAAACTAAGAGATGAGATGATGGAAAATGTTAGTAGACATCAAAAATAGAAGAAATTTCATCAATTCTTTTTATTGCTGAGTCTTCAAAGTGAGAAGATGATGAAGCTATACCGGTACATTTCGAGCATGACTAGAGATGATCTAATAAGGCTTTTAGCTAGATTGCGTTGAATATTCTACCAGCCCTACAAAATAATTTATCTTTTACGGCTGGCTGTTGGGTTTCCATAGTAAACTGGTTTTCACCAACCATTTGGAAGCCAACGATAAATACAAAACCAAACAGTATACTTTTAAATGTGATTATATGGATAGAGGTAGAAAACGAAGACTAAGGTTGGAAATCTATATACCACAGATATATTATAGTATGAAGGAAGGTCGAATCATAATTTTTATAAATGGGAAGTATTTCTATCTCTTGAACCAAAAACATTGATCTCCTCTATACATATTTAAGCCCCCATTTATTTGACGTGACAAGAGTACCTTTTACCGTAGTATATACAGAAGATGATGTTTAATATTTTAGTGCCAAGTTTGCAATCCAAATAAATAATCAAATATTTGATGTATATGATACAATCTTTTCATTTCCAATTTCGATAGTGTGTATTCAATGTAGTATTTGAAAACTTTAATAGAATTTTTAATGAAATTTTAAATGAATTATAAGTTGCCAATTTGTTAAAAATTTAAGTAACAAATTTCACCAAAACATCATTAAACTATTCTAAATTTTTAATAATAGTGAATTTCAAAATACATTTTAAATTGGGTATTTTTTTAATTTTACTACAAATTTAATATCACTTTCATATTTATTTTTAAGATAACTATTTTCATAAATACCATAAAGTTGGAAGGACAAACTAAATTAATTCTCTTAAATTAATTATAAAAATTTATAAACCCAACCACTCCCCTTAAATATTAACCCATAATCAGTCATCATTAATACCTTAATCCAAATGTTAAGATATTTTGGATTGAAGTTATCACTTATAGTATTTCAAGAAATTTTTCTTTTAAATTTTTTAATAACACTCGATTATATTTTTTTTTTTTATAAATTTATGTTCATATAACATATCATTTATTATTTTAATAAAAAATATTTCAAACTTCCAATTGTATAAGTGATGAATGCTATTTATTCGATTGACAGTTCTGGAACACATATATCATATAATACTGAAATTACTTTATCAGACTATATCCGACATAAAATATGTTAAATAAAATTCATATATAAATTGAAAGATTTTCTATTAGATTTTGAAAACAATGTTCAAGTTATTCTGGTGAGACCATTATAAACATTTTTAGTGACAAAAGTATTTCATGATTTGGTACAAATAGTAGAATTACCGAACATAAATGATTATTCTCCAAAATACAATCATGCCATATTCATCCTAAATAAGAAAAAAAAAATGGTTTATCACTGTCTCATTCTCTCTACAGCTTAGTCTTGACTTCTATTTTATATGCTCAATACTATAATAAAGAAAATAAAACCATATGTCTAGCCTATAAGTGGTGTATAGTCTAGCCCGATTCATTTCACAACCAGTTCTTCTGTACAACTTTTTCTCTCCTTCTCTAATCATTGAATTATAAGTTACCAAAATTGATTGAGATTCTCTGTTCTCTACTCTGTTCTCTACTCTAAACCGAGAAAAAGTGAAGAGGAAGAAACGATCAAAGAGGAGACATGTCTTGTAATAATGGCTTAGCTTTCTTCCCTGCCAATTTCAGTCTCCAAAACCATCACCAAGAAGAAGAAGACCATCCCCAATATCTTCTTCCTTCTTGCACTCCACCTCAAGACTTCCATGGTACATCACATTAACACTATTTTCTGTATTTTTATTTCTCTTAGTTTCTCATAATCTGCTCTGTTTTTAGGGTTTCTTGGTAAGAGATCTCCAATGCAGAACGTAGAAGGGTTTTGTAACCTAGAGATGAACGGAGAGGAAGAGTTCTCAGACGATGGATCTAAGATGGGAGAGAAGAAGAGGAGACTCAACATGGAGCAACTCAAGACGCTAGAGAAGAACTTCGAGCTTGGTAATAAACTCGACTCAGATAGAAAACTAGAGCTGTCTCGTGCCTTGGGATTACAACCAAGACAGATCGCGATTTGGTTTCAAAACAGAAGGGCACGATCCAAAACAAAGCAGCTTGAGAGAGACTATGATGCCTTGAAGCGTCAGTACGAGAGTCTCAAAGACGAGAACGATCTCCTTCACACTCAAAACCAGAAGCTTCAAGCTCAGGTAATAAAACTATGATTTGTCTTCTTTTTTTTGTCCATAAAAATGAAATTATTTATTTTAAAAATGTTTAATTATTTATTTATTTATGCAGGTAATAGCATTAAAAAGCAAAGAACCAATAGAATCAATCAATCTGAACAAAGAAGAAGGTTCATGTAGTAACAGAAGTGAGAACATCTCTGGTGACATTAGACCGGGCCATCCACCGTCTTCACCAACAGCTACAACCATGCAGTTTTTTCACAACTCGTCGCCAGAACAGAGAATGGTGAAAGAAGAGAACAGTATCAGCAACATGTTCTGTGGAATGGATGACCAATCTGGGTTTTGGCCATGGCTTGACCAGCAACATTACAACTGAATGTGGTCAAATTTACTTTGGTTATCAAGTTTTCAAAAATTTATGTTTATTTAAGTGGTCAGAGGAACCCATTCATGTTTCAAGAATCTACATGCACCAAACAAGCAAAATGTCACACTAGTTGTTTGGTAATAAGATTTTTTAAAAAGGGGCAATATTCATATATTCTTATAGTAATTGATTAATCATATGGGGCCAATGATTAGACACTAAAAAGTCTGAACCATGTGGCTGTATATATATACAGCTCATCTCCAGAAACGCTCAGAATATAAAAAAAATCACCACCAAGAAAGACTTTTCCATTTTACACTCTGTGTTTACGTTATGGTTACTAATCAATTGGGTGAAAAATAAAGGACATAACTTATATGATGTACATTCAAAGAATTTATTGAAATATTTAAGGATTCTTCTGTAGCTATGGAAACCCTAGCTGGACA